GTAATTACATTTATTTTTGGTTTTTATTAGGAATCGATAAATATCAAAGATTTCTAATAATCTGACTGATATTTTAGTTTAATCGCAAGGAAAACCTTTACTTATTAGTAAGTAGTATTTATACTTATTAGTATTATAAACACGATAGTGAATTTGTTACGTCTTAAAGCCTTAACCGCTTAACCAATCACTATACAATTTAGTACATAGAAACTTAATGGAATAGAGAAGGACATAGGCTACTATTTATGTTCTCTATCTATTAATAATGGGAAGATTAGTCCCTATTGCTATTAATATACCCTATCAGGTCGACCTCCACGCGGTTTCCCCATTGGAAACTATCGTGACTAATTTATCTTTGAATTCGTCACGATGGGTTATTTGACCTGCCTTTTCATCGTCACCTATCACCTCTCACTAGTGCCCCGCCAGTGTATACTGATAACGCGGCGGGATTACCATGCCATTTTAACCCATTAAAAACCAGTCCCATTGCTAACAATATATCCTATCAGGTCAACTTTCCCCTAATCCCCATGGAAACCATCGTGACGAATTCCAAATGTATTAATTCCGATGGGCTAATTGACTTGTCCTTTCATTCTTCCCTATAATCCCTCAATATCAGGGGCCAGGATATACCGTTAGCGCAAGCGGGGTTACCATTGCATTATCATACATTAAAAAAATACCATTTATCCCGGTCACGCGGACAAAGTAGTGAATGAAAGTTGATTAGTAATATTTCATAGGCCGTGTGGTTCCACCATAGAATAGGCCACCCCTTCCTTTCCCATTGGTATCGTAAGAGGCGATTAAGGGAGGACGAGGGATGGGCAGCGTCCCTCTTAAAACATCTCCAAAAGCCTAACTGCGGTCGCCAATCCGCCAAGTGTGGCAACTACTGGCAAAACCCTCCAAGGGGGAGGCTGGTGTTCGGCAGTGGACATTTAAAAGCTGATATGATGATGAAGATGAAAAATATAGGATATTAATGTTTAAGGAAACAGAAAAAAGGATAAATTTAAATGACCGCCAGTGTCAACCCTGCTCGAACTTAGGTGTCGCCTAATAATTAAGTGGTTACGTTCAGAACGCGTGTTGGTGAGATTTGTATCACTGTCTGGCCGATCATTAGCGTCGTTCGGTGTGTTTGGTTCGGCCCGAGGAACTCCAGAATTGGTGTTTAGTTAAAAATCAAGCAATAAACTTGCTTGGTTTGTTAACAGTAATATTTGGTTGTATTACATTTGCCTTTGGCTGTTTGTAATTGTTGTTTTTGCTTTAAAAATGTTTTGTCTCTTTGGAAGAATATATAGGTACCATACTCTACACATTGTATCATGATGCGTGTGACAGGTCACTAAAATTATATAAAACCAAATATAACTTAAAGGTTTATTAGAAATTCAGAACTTAAACTTATCATAAATTTGTAAAAAAAAAAATACAGGAAAAGATCACAATGAGAAAATAATGGCCGCCCTTATTATATAATTTTTAGATTAGTTTGGATACCAAAAATCTCACTCGATGCAGATTTTTCACAGTTAAAACTCCTAAAATACTTATGACATTTTTTTACATCCTACAAATAAAATTAAAGTCAACGTGGCACTTATTAAAAAATATATATATAAAAAAAAACTTCCATAGATACGTAACAATTTAATTAAAATGAGTAGATAGTAGATATATTGATCATTAAATATTCATATAACAGAACGCATCTATATTCCATTTATGATAATTACGAGACATTCATGTCTAATTCATGACACTTAAAACAAAAAGCTTATAATGTTAAAAGTCCACCCCAAGTTGGTAAAAGATTAATGCCGAACGATAAACCGACTAAATGAAAAGTTGGTTGGCAACGAATTGAATCATTTGAAAATGAATGCTTTCTATTTACATAGACTACAATTAGTTAGTAATTCTTGTGCTTCTTTTTGTCTATTACAGAAGGCAAATTTGAATGAATGAATGAATGAGTATACTTTATTTGCATTATACAATACAGGGGAAAAACAACACAATTAATAATTATAACGATACAATTGTATAAGTACAGTAAGGCGGTCTTATTGCTGAGAGCAATCTTTTCAAGACAACCTTAGGGTAATGGACTAATTGTTGTACAAGTAGATATTGTATAATTAAGAAAATTAATAGAATAAAACAAGAAAGAAAATAATTATAAATAGTAAGTATATATAAGTATAATAGTCAAATTAAAAAAAATATATATTAATAATAATAATAAAGTGATTAACTATATATAATATATAATCTCAGACATGTTAAAAATGTACCTAATACTAGAACATATAGATAATTATAAGCATAAGGAAATATGGTTCTAGCAGTGATATTTTAAGTCCTTTTTTGTCCTGTAGTTAAATGACGGGATATATTAATGTATTTTTTATACAACTTTGAATGGCAAACAAGTTGACGGCCCCCTTGCTGGAAAGTGGTAACCGTCGCATGACATGAGCAGTATCATGGACATAACAGAGTACTTATACTGTTTCGCCCATGATACACCCCATGCGTTGCCATTACTAAACACTCATTCCTCTGTACCCTGTAAATTTACTGCCATATCCCACCCTTCAAACCGAAACACAGCCATGCAAACACAACTGCCCAAGCAAACGACTTTTGTACAAAATCTCCCTCTACGTAGTCTGTATGAAAATAATTGAAAGATACAGCAACACAAAATACGCTGTGATACCTATGGTAGTTAACGCGTTACCATTTCTTAACATTACGATGTTACGACATATGTTGTTGATGTTATCTTGGAGCTGCTAGTCCCAATAACTAACAATCCCTTTCCACTCTTACCTTGTAATTTCACCACCATATTCAAACTGAAACTGCAATAATCAGGCGCTTTATAATAAAAACACGAGTAGGACAGATATTTATACACTTTATAAAATTATTTTATTTCATCATTTCAGAGACCTTTATTCTCCTAAAAACCTAAGTATCATTGGGCTTTGTTTTAAATTAAATGAAGTACTTACTAAGAGAAGTATGTACATTTATAATTTACATCTGTTTTTATTAAAATGAAATAATTTTTATTTATTTATTTTAATGTGCTTGAAAAACTTGATTAAGATTGCGTTTTTTGTTTTAAGACATAGATGGAGCTGCTCTACCTTTGTTCTACAAGCAGCAAAATATACGCGCTTGACTCTAGCCGCTTGACCGTTGTGTACATTTTCTCTATGCCTTATATGTTAATCACAAATCAAGTCTATTTAATAATTTGTATTTATTTTACGCTTCATGATTTTTGACTACGTATCTACATGGGCATTAACAATTTAATTGTAATAATATAATTGTAGCTTCATACTCACATATTTCGAAGCTAACAATGAATGCAAATTGCCAAGAATAATCCTGCCCCGTAATTAATCATAGATAAGATTTATTGTTTTTTATTTATTTCCCTCTTGTTAGAACGAATTCTTCACGGTATGTATAGGTACATATTTTAATTTTACCATGTTTTTTTTTAATTATATATTTCGAACGCGTGGATTTTTTTTAAGCAATTAAAGAAAAAAACATTCTTTAATTTTTCGGAATGTATCATAGGCTACAGCACTACAAGTTTTGCAGTGATTTTCTTTTTTTAGTACGTTTGTTCCGTTGTGGAACAGGCTAAGGTCGGAGACCATGCTGCCTAGTCTTCATTATGATAATTTGTCTGGAATCAATATGTTTTGTATTAATGTAATATGTATGCCTGTTTCAAGTATTATTTTGATTATAAACTAAAGAATAAGTGATGATAAATGTGTATATATGTATGTTATCTCGTTAAGAAATACTATTTATCCAAAATATTTAAATACTTGACGAAATATTTATTACGGACAGTTAAGTGGTAAGAAGAAAAAATATATCGACACTTAAACAGTATTAATAATATACATAATATAATGAGTGAAAAATTAAACTCGAGAAAGAAAAAGCAAGTTGTGTTATAATTTACTTGTTAAATACATGTAGCGAGATGGCATAGACATACAGATAATAACTTCACCACAGAAGTGAAGTGATAATTATAATATATAAAGTAAAAGTGCAATAACTAGTAAGTGTATATATAAGTGTATATAAGTATATATATGAAACTAATTTGACTTTATACGTTACTATTGCAATATGTTTTTATAATTATTGTGGTGTGGGTATTCGGAAAATTAAAAGTGCACGTCATCCAACAGTAATTTAAAATCGTTAACGGATCTATTACGAATGATAATACTTATAGCTGAATTCACACATAATGGTAGTTCCTTAACGGTGTAACTTATGTAGCATATTTGAAAATACGGCGATGACGACGGCGGCTCGAGTTCGATTACCAATACAGTTCACTTTTTGTATATGTTTTTTTTTCTCTCTTTTTTTTTGCCTTATTGTTTAATAATAATAGTAATAGCTGTTGTCTGATATAAATAATTTATAATGAATTATTAATGTAATTGGATTTTAATGGAATATTGTTTATGTATTTGTACTGTCTAGCGATATGTATATGTAGATGTGAGTATGAATTATTAGGTTGACATTATTATAAATAGAATAAGTGAAATGTTTGTATATTTTATGATTTGTCTAATTAATTGTTTATTAATTTATTTGTTATTTTTTTTTAATGACATTATTTGACTAATGGTTTCAATGTCACTGCCGACCCCTTCAGGTCAGGTATCGGATTCCCATAATGTCGCAGCGGGGACAATGTCATTTGATGGTTATGAGCGATGCACAAGTTGTGCACACCCACGTTTTTTTAGAGGACAGAGGGGTTTAAATATACATATTGGAAAGGTGCATAAACCTCAATCTCCTTAATAACCAAGCATCCAACTGCATCTGTTCAGGAACAACTAACAAATCCATCCCAGGAATTAAACCCTGGGCTACAAATTCTTGCGAGAGATGTTGAAGTTGCTATTATGAGCTTTCGTAATGGGTCTGCAAGTGGATTGGATGGGTTATCTCCACAACATTTGAAAGATTTGATATCTAGTACGACTGGTGATTCTGGAAGAGCTTTGTTGGAGAGCCTTGTGTCTCTGGTTAACCACATGTTATCAGGAGGTATTTTGGAGGACATAAAAGAAGTATTTTATGGTGCTAATTTGTGCGCCTTAATGAAAAATAATGATGACATTAGACCTATAGCTGTGGGTACAACTTTGAGACGCTTAGTGTCGAAAATATGTTGCAAAAATATTAAACCCAAGCTTACGGAGCAGTTCCAGCCTAAACAGCTGGGTTTCGGGACTAAGGGAGGTTGTGAAGCAGCTGTTCATGCAGCGAGAACTTTCATTAATTCTGGCAATGGGGAGGTATTTTTAAAGGTAGACGTAAAGAATGCCTTTAATTCCATTGATAGACGTTCCTTTTTAGCGGAAGTTGAAAGGATTGTTCCAGAGGTATTACCGTTTCTAAAACAATGTTATGGCTCGCCATCAATATTAGTATATAACAATCATCCCATAAAGTCTTCTGTAGGATGTCAACAGGGCGATCCAATGGGTCCTGTTATTTTTAGTTTGGGTATAAATTCTATAATCAAGAAACTTCTTTCACCTCTAAATATTTGGTATTTGGATGATGGCTCGCTAGGGGGAAACGCATCAGTCGTTTTATCGGATTTGGAAATTTTGATAAATGATCTAGCTGGAATAGGTTTGCAACTGAATTTTGACAAATGTGAACTTTATATTAAAGGTTCGATGTCAGAGGCAGACAAACATGATATTATTGCTAGATTTGATTCTCTGGCTCCTGGAATTAAAATAGTAGCCATCGAGTCCTTTAATTTATTAGGTGTTCCTCTCATGAACGAATCTATTCCAGCATACGTGGATGAGCAAATTGAAAAGTTTCACCGGTCTTCTGAACGTTTGTTTCATATAAATACACACATGGCATTATTTGTGATGAGGTGGTGTCTATTTGTGCCTAAATTTACATATGCAATGAGAAGTTCAATGCTTTGGAAGTTTCCAGAACAATTGATGAAACTAGATATGATATTAAAGGAAACTCTAATCAAAATTCTAAATTGTCAGTTGGTTGATGATGCTTGGAATCAAGCCACATTACCAGTGCGTCATGGAGGATTAGGCGTAAGAAAAGTTTCATCTGTTGCTCTTCCGGCATTTTTGGCGTCAGTCCATGCTTCAAACCCTCTTTGCGGAAAAATCATTAACCCTAGTTCGGGTTCCGTAGAGATTTGGGGAGTGGGCGAGGCTGTGAATGCTTGGCAGTTGCAATGTCCTTCATCTGATATGCCTAATATATGTCACTCACAAAGGCAGTGGGATGAACCACTCTGTATTAAAACACAGCAGAACCTTGTAACCCATTGTGAATCCGCTGAAACTCGTGCCCGTCTTCAAGCAGTAGCTGAAAGGGAATCGGGATATTGGTTGCAGGCATTCCCGTCAACTAATACTGGAACGCTTCTCGACGATTGCTCCTTTACATTATTAATAGGTTTGCGGTTGGGTGTAAAAATAGTTCAGCCCCATCGTTGTAGCTGTGGAGCCTCAGTTGAAGAGCTGGGATACCATGGTCTGTCCTGTGTGAGAAGTGCAGGTCGAATACCTCGCCATGCCATGATCAATAACATTATTCATAGGGCACTTGCGATGACACAAATACCAGCGATTTTGGAACCAAATGGCATTTTCCGTGAGGATGGGAAACGACCTGATGGCGTAACTTTGGTTCCTTGGAAAATGGGGAAATGCTTGGTGTGGGATGCGACATGTGTAGACACGTTAGCTCCAAGCCATTTATCTAAATCGTCCTCTTGTTCGGGTGCTGCGGCGGTGATAGCGGAAGCAATAAAGAGGCGTAAATACTCACATCTGGAGGGGTCTTATTGTTTTCTGCCATTTGCTGTAGAGACGATGGGCCCGTGGGGCCCAGATGCAAAGAATTTTTATCGGACGATCGCAGCGCGCCTCATCGAGGTTACTGGTGACCCAAGAGCTGGTAGCTACTTTGCCCAAAAGATAAGTTTGGCAATCCAAAGAGGTAATGCTGCCAGTATCTTGGGTACGCTGCCTCGGTGTGGTGCGTTGGGAGATTACTTTTAATTGTTATTAGTATTTAAGGAATTTTGTAAAAAAAAAAAAAAAAGAATTATATTTGTATTAGATTTGTAACTTATTTAAAGTTTTAAATTTAAAATGAATAAACTCGAATAATATGTTTCATGTTATTTATTGATTCAATATTTTTTTTTTGTGAAACAAACATCTTTACAGATGAATAAAAAATAATGATGATCTCAACTTTGGGGCAGGAATAGTTTGAGCTTCAAATAAATTTCTATATAAATTTTTTTTTTTTTCATCAAAAGCTACACATGTCTTGTGTTCATCAGATAACGGACGCGTTTACTAAATAGGAACAATTAAATACAAACAGACATCAACGTTATGTTTCATGCAAATGGGTTATAATAACAGAATTCGCTAACGACGTGTCGGTCAGAAGTGCCGCCATCACTCACACCGTACGAGAGATGGATTCTGTGAAAGTTGGACTCACAGCAAATTAGGTTCTGACCATTTTTTTTTCATGTAAGACATATAGGCATCTATTTATATAATCTGTTTTTCTTTGCTAGAAATAGTAAATAACACTGGCGTTTCGTCGAATTAGTAATTTTCCATTTCAAATAAAACCTGACAAAAAGTAGTCAACACGTATTATAAAGTAAATAATAAGGTATATTAACAAAATCCGCCTGTGTTTATTAAATTTATAATAAAATTAAGTATCCTAGGCACCCAACCAGCTGGCAGTGATCTCAAAGAATTTTTTTATCTTTAAATTTTTTATTTTTTTATTATTTCTGTAATTAAGTTTATGTAATTATGTATATTTATTTTATTTCTGTACATATTGTTTATCTTTATTAATAAATTTGTCTTGCATTTGCAAGTAGAAATTAATGAAAATCTAATTTAATAATTCAGAAAGTGTTGTTTTGATATGTTATATGTACTTATACCTGTCATACATTCTGATTTTAAAATAAAAAAATGTCTTCTTTGAAATTGAACATTCGTGACTAGGCGAAGCGTCATTATCAGTGTCTTACTATGGTGTTTCACTGCGTTCCGAAATTTCGTATCTCCCTAGTTTATAAGTAAATAAATCTTTAAATCCTTTTTTGTGATAAGCGAAGCGTAATAATAGCTTTTCTATAATGACACTTTGTTTCGTTTCGAAATTTTATCTATCAAATTTGCACACTAACAAAATTTTACAGCTCCTTTAGTCCTTTAGTGTCATTATCAGTTTTTTTTTTACGTGATACATCACTTAGTTTCGAAGTTTTAGGTATATTATATAACCTAATTTGTGAGTAAATAAATTTGAACATTCTTTTTGTAGTTAAACGAAGCGCCATTATCCAAGATTTTTGATGAATTAATTCGTTTGGAAATTTTAGGTATATTAAACTAGTTCGTGAGTAAACAAATCTCTTTCTCGAAGCTCTTTTTGTGATTAAGCGAAATGTCATAATAAATATTTCTCTTGATAATGACGTTTTGCTTCGATATTTTATTTAAAAGTATAGAAATGTAATTTTTAAATGAAAGAATGTTCCTATTGTAGTACAATTTAAATAGAAATAAAGTGGTACCATAGAGGGAAGTTAACCGGTAGCTGGCTATTACTGATTCGTCGCGGTATACATTGCTCGTTCCATTTATTTATCACTCAAAATGGCAATTTGCTCATGAACTCCGATGAAATTTACTGATAACGTATTACGATCTCTACGTTTTATGGGATTTCCTGATTTAGAAAATCTTTTAGTGCCAATTAATTATGTAGTATCTAGTGATATTATGATATTAAATAAGTTGTATATCAATTAATTATACAAAAAAAGAAAAAAAAAAACTAAAATATAAACATGTATTGAACCATTTAATAATCCATGAATGAAGATATCATGAGACAATGTCAAGGATGCTAGCCGCATAATTTTGCAGCCTCTGCCATCATTTTTGGCATGCCAATTAGGTATATTTTGTTTTAGTTACCAACATATTGGTAGATAAAGAATAGATACTAGTTAGTCTTTAACAATTACTACTAAGTTTCTAATTGTGTTTCCGTAATTTGGGAATACATTCATAACCATCTCCAAAAGTATTGGGATTCTCGGTGTCGGCATGTCCATTCTGTTCTGAGGTTATCTAGAAGGTAGGATCAAGCTGACGTCCAAAAAGCTCGGGATGCTCAATAGAACGAAACGGTACTTCACCCCGAGACAGATTTATTGTACAAGTCGTAAGTCCAGCCCCACATGGAGTACTGCCCTCATCTGTGGGTCTTTTTTTATGGTTTGCGGTACAGTATTTAAGGCATCCCGTCCTCGCTATTGGATACGGGTGACGGAATGCCTATACAAGAGGGTACATGGTGGGCGCAATTTAGACGCAATATTTGAGGAGCATTAGGAAGGTACTCATCTGTGAGTCGGAGTACTTGGATGTCAGTTTGGTCCTTTTAACTCGGTTCAAAGACGGGCAATGAGAATTGTTGACGTTCTCAAGCTCACAGGTGGTATCGAGCCTTGTAACGTTGAGCCGTACAGTGCGGTTTCAAAGGTATTTTCTTTTGTGTACTCTCAGGCTGTAGAAGGACCTACAGTGACCGTTTACCATCAGACGGGCTGTATGCTTGTTTGCCTCCTTTGTGGTATAAAAAAAGAAGGCATTAATTTTGACGGATTTTTGTGTATATATATATACACAAAAATTTAATAATTATAAATTGTTTTTAATTATTCCTTTTGCATTCAATAGGGTGCGAAGTCAGTTTTAATCATAAAATAAAATAAATTTTTAAGACGCTTTATGTTTGCATATGTTAAAGGATATTTCGAAACTCGTCCATTTATGAATTTTCTGAAATAATTCGCTGTGTCATGCGTATCGCATATACGTGGTCAAACGTCGTCATTATTCGCATATCAGATATCAAAGCGGCACTTTGTTATTCTCCGCTGGCGAAACATTGCCGGATAATTTGGTATTTATAAATTATTTGTTATGGCCCACATGGGCTGCCTTTACCTTTAGGTTTATTTTTTAATAATAACACTTACACCATAGATTAAGAACACTTTCTACGACCTAGACAGACACGATCTAAAAAGTATCGCTGAAATCACAAAATTTTCAAGTACTCGTAATTTAATTTAATATTTGTATCAAATAGAATACAGCATTCGCTCAATGGTGATTGATTGACTGGACGTTTCCACGTTCTGCGTATTAATTAAACTATATGAAAGAATAAGAGGAGGTCTTTGCTCAGTAGTAGGGCATTACTTTTATTTAAAAAAATCGGTTTCTAGTTTCCCGCCTTATCTGCTATCTTTATCAAGCCCGCGTCACTTCGAACAAAAACCCGATTATATGATATTTATGCAACCAGTTCAATGAATTTAAAGTTTTTATCTATCGATATCGATATTCTGCACAGAGCAATATTACAAATAATCATACAACCTTATGAATATTTATTTATTTCAATGTGTTTATACTTCTAGATAGTTGCACATTTTTTTTTCATCTTTCCTGAATATGAGAGCAGCGACTTTTATGACACAGAGCAAAATTAGACAAAAAATGTGTTAACGCTACAATAGATACTAATGAGTTAACTTTTTTTTTAAACTAAGATTTAAATTGATAGACCAACTAATTGAAGCACACCAACCAACACATAAGAAGAACAACAGTATGAACATTACTGAATATACTGTGACGCACATAGTATACTTCATGCGTGGCCATATCTTAGAACTAAGACGTTATGCTTCTGTACGTTGTAACTTCACGATGATATCCCGCCATATAAACCAAAACACAGTCCTGCAAGAACAAACAGCGAACAAGAATTTCATGTTACGACGGGTGGCTAGGCGTGCGTCTAGTGTTGCAAGCATTCAGGGCTACGGTATTCACTTACCATTATGTTGACCATGTTTTTTTTTATTATAGTTTTTATATGATGTAGTTGCTGTAAATAGTAAGCCTTAATATTGCGGGATATAATCAAGGAAAATAAAGCACTGTACTCAAGTGTGTTTAATCGTGTTATATTTTGATTCAATAAATTACTCACATAACATACCTTTTTACATCTTACACATTGCGATAATCAATTTACAAATATCCATATATCACCGCCCATTCATAATTTAACTTATTTTGTACCTAAAAATTAATCCGTCTACAAACATGTACAGAGTAATGTTTTATAATCAGATTTTTAAATAAAAATATTTAGATTAAATAGCTATACAAAATTGATGGTTCTCATAAAATAAACTCAGTAAAAATAAATATAAATATTAGTTCTATATATATATATATATATATATATATATATATATATATATATATATATATATATATATATATATATATATATATATATATATATTTGCTTTATAATGAAGTATTTAGATATAATATTAATTAAGTCAATAAGTCATAGACAATAAAAAATAATGTAATCAGTAAGGATGTACAAAATTGTCAACTTTGTTTGGATATTTCACTAAATATCTACGATAAATACATCATTCCAATGAAAAAACAAATTGACTAAATTAATAAAGCTGTATGATTATGTTATTTATGCTTTCCTTTCACACGCAGGTATTATTGTAAAAATAATTAATTTATTATCATAGAAAAGGAATGTCATCTATGTTTATTATATTATCAAGACCCTCATCAATTAGAACAAACACCATAAATATTAATTTAATAATGTTTATATTTTTCAAGGTGGTTGCACAGATTCTTTTTCCAATTTTGACAATATAAGGGCAGTGCCGACTCTAAAATAACATTGTGATTACTAGGATGAAGTCGAGAGGATCGATTAAAATTTAAAGTTTATAATCACGTATTCATTGTTAATGGATAAATGAGAAACAAAATATATTAATTTCATTTGTCTGTGTTGTACCAAAGATATTTTACCTGTTTGGTATAATACATTTATAAACAGTGTTTAAGATGAAAGTAATTCGACTACATTTTTTTTGGACGATTTTATAATCAACATCATTCAAGAATATGAATTATTTCAAATATCGAATCGTTACCGATGTAATTTTCGTTATGTATTTTGTAACAAATTAAAATGTTGGAAATTATTTACCGAATGAAAAATATGTATTAGATATTGATAAATTTCCAATTCGTAACCTAACGTTTAGGTGAGTAGAACCATTTACTTTCAAACAAATCTACGTCTATGATATTCATTTTTGGTCACACAGTACCTAAACATACCTATCGACTTAATATTAAATAATTTATAATTTACATATATTTTAATAACAATGTCGAAGAAAAGACAATTTATGCGCAGATCATGTTTAGTTTTTTGTATACAGGTTTTAAATATCATGAATTGAAATGTATATTGATTGAAAAAGGATGTTTAATATTGTATTTTAATTCAACTCGCTATTTTATGTATAAGTTTTAATAAAATATCAGTAATTAAATATAATTTATTGAACACACGTAGGTATTATATATATTTTATTTAGATAAGTATAAAAAATGACACAGGTAATGGAGTGGCCGTAGCCGAATTTGATATTTTGAAATGTAATTATTAATTAGTAGGTCGACAGTGATATATATACATATATGTTTGTATGTACCTACGTGTTCATAAATTATAAAGAACTAATATAATATTGATATTTATATGGCTTACCAATGTGGTTGAATGTAATAATTATTGGTTCATGGTCATACTCGTGAACGGTTACTAATAATGACTGGTCAGCACACGTCCTATCGACTCACTTTGACACAAACTTGACTTATTATTATTGGCTGTTTATATTTTTCATTTTTATTATATTTATATAAAATAACAAAAGTAACTCTTAATTTTCTTCTCTCTTCTTTATATAGAGGAATTAAAATTAATTCCCATTCCCTAGTGAATCGTGGTTTCCCATAGAGACTACAGTATGGGGTTCTTCAAAAAGGGCATATTAAGAGAGCAAGGTGCATGTGATATCCTTAGTGTTGGAGACGTCCATAAGCTACAGTGACCGTTTACCAGACGTACTATATGTTTGTTTGACACCTTTGTAATATAAAAAAAAATAGATTATGACGGGCCAACTAACTCATCGGACTTCAATCTCGCCTATCATCCTTCACGAGTACCCCACCTGTGTATACCGATAGCGCGGGTTGAGTTACAATTCCATACTTATTTCATAAAAAGTAGGTATAGGTATATTTAACCTGCCTCGGTGTAAGTAAATATAACAATAAACCGAGACGACCATTACTGGCCGCTAATTGGCGAGGTTATCGACGTCTCGCGTCATACATTCATTAATTGTTGTTGTTTTACGATCCGAGGTTATATTTCTTTTGCCAATAACAATAATTATATTTACGTAGTTCCTATTTAATAAACAATGCATTCTTTTATGTGTATGTTTCATTAGGGAATTACTGCCCTGGATTCGAACAGCGCATTTTAAGGTATCTCATAAGGTTTGGTTAAAGCATACGACATGGCATACAACGAAAATGGAGTTAATTACCATAATAGTAGGGGGGAAAGGAATTGTTAGTAATGGAGACTGAGAATCCTATTGCTAGCAATATACCCAATCAGGTCGACCTCCTCGCGGTTCTTCCTGGAAACTATCATGGTTAATTCCTGATGAATTCATCATGATGGGCTACCTGGCCTGTTTTCATTCTCATTTATCACCCTTCACTGGTGCTCCGCCGGCGTATCCCGTTAGCGCAGGCGGGGTTACCATACCATCTTCACCCATCAAAAAAAATTACCATAATAGCATGTAACTGTCTACAGCTGAACAACTTTAGGGGTTTTGCCAGTAGTTTTGGCAATCGCAGTTAGGCTTTGGAGATGTTTTAAGAGGGTTTTTTATGGGTGAAAATGGATATGGTAACCCCGCTTGCGCTATCGGTATACACTGGCGGGGTACCCGTGAGGGACGATAGATGAGAATGAAAGGAGGTCAGTTAGGCCATTGTGACGAAACCAACAAGACTTAATCACAATGGTTTCCAGGGAGAATCGCGTGGAGGCCGACCTGATATGGTGTATTGCCAGCATTACTAACAATCCTTTTCCCCTCAATGAATGATTTTGAAATGATAATTCCGCCTGAGCTAACGATATACGCTACCGGGGCACCAGAGATGACAGGTGAGAATGAAAAGGCAGGTCAGATAGCCCATCGTGATGAATACACCTGGAATTTAGCACGATGGTTTCCTTGTAGATTTCGACCTGACAGGATATATTGCTAGCAATGGGACTGATAATTCGCATTACTAACTACCCCTTCCCCCCGCCTGTCCTATAACAATGACATCAATTCTGAAGTGCCAACTATCTAAACCTAGTTTTAAAATTGAAATTTCAATTTAATATAATAGCAAAATATTTAATCTAACTGGTGCCCCGCCAGCGTATACTGATAGCGCATGCGGGGTTACCATGCCACTATCAACTATTAAAAAAAAAATAGAGATATCATCCATTAAAAAATACCTGATAGGAATATTTATTTAAATGTGTCAAATTAATCTCATTATCTTATTATTTTTTTTATTAAATAATTAATTAATTGAATGATACTTATAAATTAAATTTATGTCTTTCGCTTGTCTAATCCAAATTAATGCGACGTCAGTTACTCTCTCATTTCACTCTAGTCTAGAGTGTTAGACAAGGACATTAAAATTTTTACTATACACATAAAATTATTGCAAATTGCTTTGTAAATTGCAGTTATTACTCAGTGATTCGGTTTAACCGTCAAAATAGTTTATTTACTACGTAGTTTCAGTTAATTGTTATCGTTTTAGATGCTCCAATGACCAGTGACCTAATGGCCAGTTTCATAATTAAACAAGTTCAGTTTAAAACTGATCTTATATAAAGTAATCTCTGATATTATGAAGAATTTATGAGAAAATTTATGTTTTTATATTTATATTATGTATAAATTAGAATGGCAAACAAGCTGACGGCCCACCTGATGGAAAATGGTAACCGTCGCCTATAGACATCAGCAGTATCATGGACATAACAGAGTATACTGTTTCGCCTGAAACACGAATGGAACAGAGGTACCCAAGCAAAATACTTTTATACAAAGTCTCCCTACGGTAAATCTTCCTCTGTATTCAGAAATTATAATTTAAATGAAAATGTCGATTCTTTTATACCACTGAGGTGGCAAACAAGCATACGGTCTACAAGACGGTAAGCGGTTACCGTATCTTATGAACGCCTGCAATACCAGGAGTAGGTATTACGCGTGCGTTACCTTTTTGAAGAACCCCATGCTATAGTCTTTTGAGAAAACGAGAAAAGAAAAGAGGTTTTATATTTCCAATCAGTTTTGTTTAAATTTGTATTTTTTTTTTCAATTTTACCATCTCATTCAGAATGTTACCTAATTTGTTGAGAAGATTTGACAAATAATTCGATAGATTTGTTTAGTTTACAAAAGAACCGGCAATGATGTTAGTGCGTAAACTTTTAACGAAAAATTTTAATCAGTAGTTGTTATTTTGAAAAAGAAAACAGTGGTAGAGATTAGCACAAACATGCTTTGGAATCAACTTCCAGCAGCAAAATTTCCAAACCGATACGACATCCTAACCTTAAAGAAAAAAGCATATTCCTTTTTAAAAGACCTGCAATTCCTCTAATGTTGCAGGTGCTCATGTGCGGACGGTAGTCACTTACCATCAGGTGAGCTGCACGCTCGCTCTTGTGTTGTATAAAAAATAGAATTCGAACTGGCCTTAGTTTTAAATATAGATGAGAAAATAAATGACTTGTTGTGGGGAAGGTCGTTGAACTGGTAATACACCAGTTCAACGACATTACGCCATACTGCTTGCGAATATAAATACCTAAATATGTAACAAATGCGCCCTACGAAACCATAGTAATAATATTAAAAACCAGTGTTGACAAGTAATATCTATTCACGAGTATGATTTAGAAGCCAATGAGTCCTCCTTTCGTATAATACAGATATATCATATTTTAGAGAGATCAATCAGAGGGTCTAAGTGAAGTTAAAACATATAAATATGACTTATAAAAGAGTTTACGTGAATCTTGAGTTTCCTTTTTATACCAATCGATGCATTACGTTCAATCAAAAGCTTAATTTGATGGAAATAAGAGTTAATGATATAAATAGAGAATTATAGCATTATTGTTATGTCATTAATGACATTTCTGATACTGCGACCAGTAAAAAATAATACATATAAACGTACATATTTATTTGTACCAATTCATACCTGCATAGATGCGTATTGACTTAAATTGGGTAATTTATGTTCCTGTAATTATTCAACATGTCTACGAGATGTTAAATTACAAATCAACAATAAAATCTAAAACTTGCAAATAAAATAAAATACCTCACGATCAACAATTATGTTATAAATTATTGCCCCAAAATTTTGTATAAAGAAATATAATATATTAACGTTAAAGAGAAAAAATAAATACCTAAAGACTATTTACACTACTGTCTATATAATACAAATTTCCTACTTCTAATATTCACACTGGATATGTTAACTGGTATTATCAAGTCTTTATTACTGAAGCTGATTAAAACTAATGATAATTAACGATCCGTTAAACATTAAAGCAAAGGAACATTCCACATAATGCTTGTAGGTATTTCGAGTCACTGTTAAAGTCACGATCGTGTCTGAAAGCCTCATTAATTAAATATTGGTTCAAATAGTCACTTTCACGTGTTTAATAAAGATTCTATACTGAATGGATTATGTTTTCTTGTTCCCCCGTTTTTGGATAGGTCCTGTTCGGTGGCGGTGCCCCCTCCGCTAAGGTCTAAAGACACGGCTCTGCTCGGGTCGAAGTCGAATTTCTCGAAATTACCAGCGTTACTGAACTGTTTGAAGAATGAAGACTGCGGATCTGGAATGGGACTGAAGTTCCTTCCAGAATGCGCGTCGGAAGTAGAACTATCTGAATTATTGATGCCGTCGGCTCCTGACGGCGCTCGCAACCTCCCAGATAGCGAGAAGTCTTCTGGCCCCGAGTCGTGGCAAGAATCGCCTCCTACAACGTCGATCATGCATTCTTCTCCGTCTATTTCCCCATCAGAGTCGGAGTAAAGGCCGCTGTTTCTGTGCTGAGCCAGGTATTCGGCCTTCAGAGCCTCAAGGTCGACCGCGATGCCTTTAGCTCGAAGCTTTCTCGCTTGTCGGTCTAACGCTTTTGCCAGTTTCTTTCTTCTTCTCGCCCTGTTGATAAAATCAGTAGGGCCTAATTAGTATAGAACCTATAACAGTTGTATTGAAAATATTGGTATGGTATAGTCTATTACAATTTTTTAAATGTAGGTAAAGTATAAGTAAATAAGGGAATCGGCAAGTATAGGCATGTTTAAGCGTCGTCTAAGAGAGCATTACTTATCACTATGCTGACGTATTATGTATATGTGTATGTATATTTATATATGTTTATATGTGTATATATATGTATGTGTATATGTATGTTTGTGTAAATATATGTGTATGTTTACAGGGTATTTTATGTAATTTATAATGTGTAGTTTGTATTATTCTTTGTGTATACATAACTTATGCGTTTATGCAATATATGCAGATCGTATGACTGCCTATTTTTATTTATAAAATAACACATTAACATGGAAAGGTTTTGCTGGAAGAAATCTCTTATTAGAGATAAGCTCGCCTTTGTACATTATGTTTATAATGAATTGTAATTACCAGTATGTTTTGTGTACAATAAAGAATAAAGAAAGAATAAAGAATAAAGTAATTGAAACCAAGTATAAAACAGATAGAATTACAATTTTGTTATGTACTTTCTTGGCTGATGGCTCCTGGCCAAAGACTAACAATTAAAAAAAATCAATTACAATAGAAATTAATGTAAATGTAAGCCAACGAATAATTGAGCCGACCATAGACAATTACGATTTTCAATACAAATAAAAATCGATCAATTATTTGAATGTATTCATTTATCACTAATTTCATTTCGATAATTTCAACAAAACTTGGTTACGTTTTCATTAAGTTCCATTGAAACAAACTAGAAGTTCCATAATCTATTTTCTATTTATTTCATGAAAAAGCAAAATAAATTGTATGCCATTTAATTTTAACAATTTATTGTATTACGTTCTTTATGAATAAATTATATCCATTCCCTTGCAGGTTTGGTTTGTAAGTTCCTCACCTCTCGCGAGCTCTCAGCTCGTGCGGTGGGATGGGTTCTCCAGAGCACGACTGGGGGTGCGCGTTGTGCGCGGGCCTGCCTGGGCCTTTCTTTGTATGCTCCTTCTTGCGCCATTTGGCTCGTCGGTTTTGGAACCATACCTGTAGTACAAATAAATAAACAGCACTGGACATGACAGTGTTAAGTATTTTTTTTATACAAATTAGAATAGCAAACAAGCTGACGGCCCACCTGATGGAAAGTGGTAACCGTCGCCTATAGACATGAACAGTACCATGGACATAACAGAGTATACTGTTTCGCCCATGATACCCCCATGCGTTGCCATTCCTGAGGACTCAGGTGTTATTCCTCTGTACCCAGTAAATTCACGCCATATCCCACCCTTCTCTATCTATTATATTGTCTATCTATTCTATATCTATTATTCTCATTTTCGTGTACAATATAGTAAATAGATAGATACTCTTTATTGTTTCCTCTATAAGACTACAATATTATAAATACAAACAATTACAAGAAATTATTACATTGAGAATACAATAGTATATCTTATATTCTTATTTATATATATTTATTTATTTATATATGTAAATTTTAATATGTATGTATAGTTATTATATTTAGTACCGCATTCGAGTATTCCAACACTTCTCTAAGGTTGACCGGGAGAGAATGCTTATAACATTAGATACGCCTTATACATATAAGTACTAATGAATAAATAAATAAATAAATAGTGATATCTAATCCTAAATTTAGTAGTAATCGTCATTTATAGGCGATGGCTACCACTTATCAGGTGAGCCGTCAAATTGTTTACCATTTTAAGTTACATAAAAAGAAACTAAGAAAAGTCGAAATGTGGGCAGTAGACAACTGATAGACATTAAATTTTTTTTTATTTAGTTACATATTACATATTCCCTAAGAGGGTTGATGTCAGGCAGACTTTTAAATTTACGTTACGTAAAACTAAGCCAAATCTTTTTGCTAAATGAATAAAAAACATATTACACCGACCCCATATAATAATTGGGATAAGGGTAGAAAGAAGAAGAGTTATGTACATAGAATCTAGAAAATACAAATAATATAGACATGGTCATGAAAACGTATGTTTGTATTATACGAGAAATGAACCCGCGACCAGTGGAAGGTGAAGTAGTGTGTCCGCGTAAATCATCTATGAAAATAAATTATTGAAATAGCAATATGAAATTAATATTATCAACGGATGATGTTTAACCGGCAACAAATTAACTGCAAAATGAGATCGTAAAAAATAGAAGTGGATTCCTTAATTAATAGATTTGGCAACTAATTAACGTTTCAGTCTAACCTACATCTAACCTTTAATTAAAGGCTCTTAGTTAATCGCCTAATAAGTATGTATTTGTTTTTTTAGATCTTCGTAACAAAGGTATATACATATATATAGGCAATTAATAATAAATTTTTTGGACAATAATTATTAGTAGCAAGTAAAAGTATTATTAAAATATTTTAAAACATTTTTATTTTTGGGATATAACAGCCTTTGTATCTACTTGTATACACTTATTGCAATTATGTGGGGTTTAAAGAACTAATAAAATAAAATATTGTTATTATATCAGCCGTCCTTCCTCATAGGGGGTGAGGGGGGGGGGGCAATGTTGCCAGTAGTTGCCATCCTTGGCGGGTTGATGATTTTAGAAGGATGCTGATGCCTATCGCTCGACCATTAAGTTCCCTTAGTAGCCTTTTACGACACCCACGGGAAAGGAAATCGTCGAATCGAAAAATAAAGAAAATCACGTCTATAATATTTAAGTAGGTAAAAATATTCAATCTAGGTCTATGCTGAACATAGATTTTGCTCGTTTAAAAATATAGTTCATAAACCTAAGTAAAAATAAAGGTTAAAAATCAAACGCCACTCCGCGCAACACGCAAAAGTTGGAAAGTGAAATTTGATTTCACTAATATTTATAAATGCACCAAGACCTGTCGTATATAATATCAGCTTTGTAAACGATTAAACACTTGATCATCGTCATCGATAAAATAGCGTGAAGATGCATCTCGCTGTCCTGCACAAAGCCATGTAAAATGGTCACGGGCCGCGCATGAATTGAGACGTTAAATTTCAATGCGCACGTTTGCATGCAAATGCGACGCGGCCGTGCGAGCGCATTCGACGCGCCCAGACTGTCGTGTATCCTAGCACTTATAAAGAAACTAACAGCCTACACGATTTAGCACACGATGGGTAGAGCGGATAAACAGGGCGCTAGTAATATGTTTAGAGTTGGAAAGTGAAGTTGGTCAGTCGGTTTGAAAAATTAAAAAAAACACGACATGTTTGTTACTTCATAACTCCGCCAGTTCTTAGCCGATTTGGAAAATTATTTTTTTATCTGACTTGTAGATTGGTTTCCGAGAATTCTTATCAAAATCGGTTTAGTAGTTTAGTTTTTATATCAAAATAAATAGTTTTAACAATTGAAGTCGATTTTTTTTAAGCACAATTAATTATTATATCTAAATCTATTTAGAAGTCAAGGCGAAATAAAGGAACACATACACACATACATTCATACTCTTCTTTTTTGGGTAATCGTGTAACAAATAGATTTTACACCGCAAATTTAAAAAAAACAACACGATTTCCCAGCCAACAAAACTATTTTCAATTAATTACAGCCAGTGTTACTCGGGATAACATAAAGACTCTAAGGCTAATTCATACATTCAAATCAGTTCAGGCATTTAAAAGTTATGATAAATTACAGTAACTCGGATACATATCTGTATAAACCATGAATACAATGCACACCCTTTTGTGCAGTCATGTAATAACAGATTTTGTTTTATCTAAAAACTAAGCTTTTGAAACGATTTTGATAACATTTCTAAGGGACCGATCGGTAAATATATTTTTTCAGATAAAAAAAAAACAAGAATTTTCTAAATCGGCTTAGAACTGACGCAATTATAACGTAATAAACATAAAAAAAATATAACGGAATTGAAAATCTCCTTATTTTTGAAGTCGGTCCAAAATACGAATACTAGGATAATCATTCTTGCAGGAATATAAGGTACTTTAGTATTTGAACAAACAGCTTTAAAAGGGCAGTTGCGGCTAGTTAAATATGTCTTAACACGATATACTTTTTATTCGTATAGCTAAAAGGTGGACACACATACGCACATAGTACGTTCGTCCGTAATTTTATAAAATTTTATAATAAGATATGCTTATCAGAATACTTTTAAATTATATTTTTTTAATGGATGATAATGGAATGGTTACTCCGTCTGCGCTATCGGTATACACTAGCGGAGTACCAGTGAGGGATGATAGATGATAGATAGATGATGATGATGCAGATCAGTTGAATTTACTATTTTACTATCAATCCCCCCCCCCCCTACATATCTAATGCTTGCAAATACATAAGCTTAAATATAGAAACAAATTGCGTGAAAAATTCAATCAATAAATCATAACGTTTATTTAGAGGTAAGAAATTGCTTCTTTACAAACTTTCACATTTATTCAGCAGCAAAGCAAGCGAAGGGTCAGCCATTGAAATAGTTTGTTCGAACAAATGTTCACCCATAAAAGGAACCCCTTGAATCGAATATAGTAAAAATATTTTTTTCGGAAATAAAAATTTACTTTCCCGTTTATTCGTCCTTAAAATGAAAGAGAGGAAACATTGGTTGATGTTTGGCGAATGTTTGCGACATAATCATAGAAAATAAAGGTACGGCCACATGCGCGGGTCAGTTTTACGACTGACCCATCGCGTTTTATGGCAAAAGATGTATTTAACAGCCGGATTAATTTGGATTAATTTAATAAAATTAAAGTTAACGCCTTCTGCGTCGAGTCCGTTCAATATAATTACGTCCGGGCCGCATCAATTGTAATGTCGGACAATTATCACGATCCCCTTATTTATCGTCCGTAAATTAATACTTACAGTTGATCCGGTGCAAAAATTAAACGTTAGTCGGTACTCGCTTAATGTTTCCATTTATATTTTCAATTTGGCTGCACGAAATATTAATTAATTTAAGTACATATGTAACTACCATGTGTATCTATCTACTAAGCATCTCGTTCAAACGGTTTACGCTTGTTATAACTTACTTATTATGAGTAATAATTTAAGATTGGATTCCACAAAAAAGACAACTATTATAAAAAATTGTGACAAAACTATTTATTTTGATTTCAAATTTAAACTGTTGAACCAAATTTTGAAAAAAATCTGTGGGATCAATCTGCAAGTATAACGTTTCAGATATAAATATTCTAAACCGGTTTATAATTGATTCATTTTTTTTATTACATTAAAAAAATACAAATGAATCTAGAACCCCTTTCTCTTTGAAGTAGTAACAGGCAAACCTAATAAAAAAGTAATTAAACATTTTTAACTAGCTGATCTACCGTGTAAATTTTTTGTATAGCTTTAAAAACTATAATACCTGTCGAGTTGGAGCAAGCAGTGCGCATTTACAAAGTTCCATTACAATCGGTCAAGTAATTAGCGTGAACGAACATTGAGACACGGGATTTTTATATATTAAGAGCACGTAAGGCTGCCTGTATTTCAAAACAATAGACGATCCGTTCCAGTTCAACAATAACCATAAATAATTACAATTCTATTTCATAACAAAAAGAATTCATTTATTCGGAACAAATCCATTTAATTACTGTAAACTTTATGGTTGGTTTCATCTTATCAAATCGCTCCTACAACCAACTACTAGCAACCGTACAATGAAATGGTTTTAACATTTTTTAGCTATTTATTTATTCTTTATTGTACACAAAAAATTACAACATACAATATATATAAATTAAAGATGTACAACAGGCGAGCTCAACTCAGTAAGAGTTCTCTTCCAGCAAACCCTGAGTGGAAAGGAGCATTAATTACCAGCGGGCAGTATGCGTACAATAATAGAAGGAAACATTATAGATGTTTCTATTAAAAAATAATAAATATGTTGACATATATACAAAGTAACTCATACAATTAAAATCAAAATACATACATATCTGTATACAATAATACATATATACATATTTATTATTATTATATCAGCTGTTACTTGTCCAATGCTAAATATA